AGCCACCGCAGCCTCGACCTGCTGGGCTTAGGCAATCCTTCTGCTTCAGCCTTCCAAGTAGCTAGAACTACAGGCGTGTGCTACCACGCCCAGCTAATTTTTGATTTATTGTAGAGACAAGATCTCTCCAAGTTGCCCAGGTGGGTCTCGAATCTGTAGGCTCAGACAATCCACTTGCCTTGGCCTCCCAAAGTGCTGGGATTACAGGTTGAGCCACCAAGCCCAGCTAGAATTTCTTTATTTCTATTTGTGTAGAGACAGGGTCTTGCTATGTTGCCCAAGCTGGTCTCAAACTCTTGACCTCAAACAGTTCTCCCACTTTGGCCTCCCAAAGTGCTGGGATTACAGGCATGAGCCACTGGGCTGGACTGGGGTTTTCTTTTTCTTTCTTTTCTTTTCTTTCTTTTTTTTTTTTTTAACTTACCAGGACACACCAAGATTTTCTTTTTTTTAATCGTGGTGTTTGTGCAGGTCCTCTCTGGGCAATACAGGAGACACAGACCAATGCACAATAGGACCCAAAGCTAGATTAGATGGTGGAAGAATGTGAGAGGAGACTGGAAAGGACGCGTTGGTGGGCAGAGGGCTCAGCTCTGCACACTGACCCTGTGGTTCCATGACGGCTGTGTGGGAGGAAGCCCAGCTAGAGAAAGGCAGAAGCCTCAGGTCCCCATGCTGTCCCCGCTTTATCTCCACCTTGGACACTGTGGCCCTTCCCTCCCTCCTCATTAGGCCCCAGGGTTGTTCTGTCAGGCACATCCCTGAAACCTCAGAGGCTTCCTGTTGCTTGCAACTTTGGTTTCAAACTTTGCTCCTTCAGGTGTTCAGAGATGCTTCTAGCACCGCTACTCTGGGCTGGGTCAGGGACTCTAGCCTTACCTTGGACCTCACCTTGGATTCGTTTTATATACGGGGGTTCTGGTGCAGGCATTCAAGGCTTTATACCATGTGAAATCGAACAGCCATAGGCCCACTTCCTAGTCTGGCCTCCAAGGCTCTTCATTGGTCTGTCTCTTCTCCAGCTGTTCCACCTGATGGCCCTTGAATGGCCAGGCTCCTACCAGGCTGCACCGCCCTCTCTGCTCCTCTCTTACTTTTTACATTCTTTTTCTCTTTTTTTAGAGACAGGGTCTTACTCTGCCGCTCAGGCTGGAGTGCAGCTACATAATTATAGCCCACTGCACCCTCAACCTCCCACCTTGTCTTCCTGGATAGCTGGGACTACAGGTGCACACCACCACAACTAGATAATTTTAAAATTTTTTGTAGAGACAAGGTCTTGCGATGTTGCCTAGTCTGGTCTCAAACTCCTGGCCTCAAGTGATCCTCCTGCCTTGGCCTCCCAAAGTGCTGGGACTATAGGCATGAGCCACTGGGCCTGGCCTGTCTTCTCGCATTCTGCAAACCCTTCACTCAAAAGCCCCTGTGGTTCTGCCTCTTCTTTTTTTTTTTTTGAGTTGGAGTCTCACTCTGTCACCCAGACTGGAGTGCAATGGC